GACTTGACCTCGTCCGCTAATGACGTGAGTTAGCCGGGTGACCTACAACCTCACCTAACCAAGAAAACCTGGGCAGGACCACACCTGCACACAGCTGTCCAGACCTGACCCAAGGGAACCAGAATTCTCACTACCACTCGATCAGCTCAACCCGGCGTCATGACCTTGTTAATTCAAGGACCTGCTAATTAGCCAGCACTCCTGTTGACCTAACAACCCGGTCAAGACACCCCCAGTTCAGTAGGAGAGGTCACCCCCCGGCTCGTCCAATATATAGGGGCTGGAGCTCCTCTCCAAAAGAGTGTGTCTTGTAACCAGGAAGGGCCAGCTACTACGCCCCCAGTCCCGCTCGAGAGAAGCCCGCCACTAAGTGTAACGAAGTCTCAGCCGGGTCCATCGACAGAGTGCTGTCAACTCAATGTGTAACAGTAAGTGCTGGCTGTGTAGACTGTAGAAGTGGGGTGATCCCGAACCTCTCCAACGATCGACTTAGTGAAGTGCCCATTCTAATTGTGAGGTTAGGTCATACGAGAATACCATAGTCTATCATAAATTGTGTATGAACCCCCCCATTAATTCCCCCTATTGAACTAGTAAAATAAAGCTGTAACACGCATTGGTGTTTTATATACTACACTTGTACTGTGCCTGTGTTAATACAGTGTTAACATCACACCCTCGAGACACGCTACCATTTACTCTCACTATAATACTCTACTACTATAAACTCCTAGCTTACTTCTTCATGTGAGATTTTGTCTCATTACACATCTATAGTAAACAAACAACCATTTATAAACAAACAGCATCCATCTATAGTAAACAAACATCCATCTATAGTAAACAGACAACCATTTATAGTAAACAAACAACATCCATCAATAGTAAACAAACAGCATCCATCCATAGTAAACAAACAACCATTTATAAACAAACATCCATCTATAGTAACAAACAACCATTTATAGTAAACAAACAACATCCATCTATAGTAAACAAACAACCATCCATCTATAGTAAACAAACAACCATTTATAAACAAACAACATCCATCTATAGTAAACAAACAACATCCATCTATAGTAAACAAACAACCATCTATAGTAAACAAACAACCATCTATAGAAACAAACAACATCTATAGAAACAAACAACAACCATCTATAGTAAACAAACAACAACCATCTATAGTAAACAAACAACATCCATCAATAGTAAACAAACAACCATCTATAGTAAACAAACAACATCCATCTATAGTAAACAAACAACCATCTATAGTAAACAAACAACAACCATCTATAGTAAACAAACAACAACCATCTATAGTAAACAAACAACCATTTATAGTAAACAAACAACATCCATTTATAGTAAACAAACAACCATTTATAGTAAACAAACAACAACCATCTATAGTAAACAAACAACCATCTATAGTAAACAAACAACCATGCATAGCAAACATACAACAACCATCCATAGCCTCCGTTAATTTGTAAATGAGTTCAGGAAAAAAGGAAAATGCCCTCGAAAATGCCAATAAAATGCCTAATGCCAAGAAAATGTTCAAAAAAGGTCAAGAAAAAGACCAAGAAACTCCTAGAAAAGACCAAGAAAATCCTAGAAAAAGACCAAGAAACTCCTAGAAAAGACCAAGAAAATCCTAGAAAAAGACCAAGAAAATCCTAGAAAAGACCAAGAAAAGACCCAAAAATCCTAGAAAAGACCAAGAAACCCTAGAAAGACCAAGAAAATCCTAGAAAAGACCAAGAAACTCCTAGAAAAGACCAAGAAACTCCTAGAAAAGACCAAGAAAATCCTAGAAAAAGACCAAGAAACTCCTAGAAAAGACCAAGAAAATCCTAGAAAAAGACCAAGACAGCCAGAGAACAAGACAAAATAAAGAACAGATTAGGAAGATTAACTGACAGGAACACAGAATAAATTATGAAGTTGAGATCAGTAGCTGCGAGGCCAACCACCGTGTAGCTGCGAGGCCAACCACCGTGTAGCTGCGAGGCCAACCACCGTAGCTGCGAGGCCAACCACCTGTAGCTGCGAGGCCAACTACCGTGTAGCTGCGAGGCCAACTACAGTACTGTGTGTGAGGCCAACTACAAGAGCTGGAGGCCAACTACGTGTAGCGCGAGGCCAACACAGTACGTGTAGCTGCGAGGCCAACCACCGTGTAGCTGCGAGGCCAACACCGAGTAGCTGCGAGGCCAACTACAGTACGTGTAGGGAGGCCAACCACTGTAGCTGCGAGGTCAGCCACCGAGTAGTGAGGCCAACTACAGTAGTAGCTGCGAGGCCAACCACTGAGAGGAGGCCAACACAGTACCGTCAGGAGGCCAACTACCGTGTAGCTGCGAGGCCAACCACCGTGTAGCTGGGTGAGGCCAACCACCGTGTAGCGAGGCCAACCACTGTAGATAGAGGCTTCATTTTTCTGTACTGATGATAATGATATCCATCTATCTATCTATCTATCTATCTGGGTGTGTCTAAAACCTCGTCTTTACCGCTCACATATTGAATTAAGAGTACCATCCACCCTCCCATCGACCTTTCAGACCTAACCAACGGCTAGACGTGTATGCCACCAACAATAGCAGCCGCAGCATTCACAAGCTAACAGCAGCAGTAACCACTATCTTTAACTACCGTCAGAGACCTTTTAACTGTCGACCCGTGCAGCAAACAAGTCTCTTTTACAGCGTGTGTGAGTGGGAGCAGCAGACAACAGTAGGGTGTGCGTGCAGCAGATGATAGAGACTCGTAAATGCGTGTGTAGGTACAGCAGACAGCAGAAAAAAAACAGAGCTTCGTTACATCAGATGTGTCTAAGTGAGCGCAGCAGACAACACAGCAGCAGACAACACAGCAGCATCACAAGACAGCAGCAGATATCACAGCAGCATCACTACAAGACAGCAGCAGATAACAGCAGCACCAGCAGCCACGGTGTGTACAAGAGGCAGCAGCAGCAGCACGACACAAAGGTGGCCTCACATTCCCCCGGTCATAACTCGTGTCTGTTGCACCGCTCAAACTGTAAACACAATTTTTGTGTCCTGGCCCACCTTTGTTTTGGTGCGGCTGGCTGGCTGTCTGTTTGTCTGTCTGTCTGTCTGTCTTCCTGTCTGTCTGTCCGTCTGTCTGTTTTGTGGCCTGTTTGTTTCACTGATTCTCTTTATCTGTCTGTCTCTCCCCATTACTGTCACCCTGTTCGTTATTCTCATTGCTCGCCCCCATATCCACATTCCACTGTTACTCCCATACAAAAAACAACTTCCGTCCACACTATTCTTCCTCCCGCCTCTACCCTTCCGTCCCTCCTCTATGCCAAGAAGAGAAAAACACAGAGTGGAACTTGGAACATGTCCATTCTGTGCCCCCACCACTCCACACACACACACACACAACATCTTCCATATCTCCGTCTTTCTACGTTATACAACACCTCTCACTTACTCTCTCATCCAGGGGCATTAACTCGGTAGGGCGGTCATATGTCCTAGTACAACAGAGGATCAAGGAGGGTCAGGGTCACGAGATGTCCTAAAGGGGCGCCGATGGTAGAACGGTACTGTTTGCCTCGCAAGCGAGATGTCACGGGTTCGATTTCCGGGCCGTGGAAAGTTGTTTGGACATACTTCCTAGGACCTCATTAGTCCCTGTTCACCTAGTAGTAAAGTAGGTACCTGTTGTAAATCGAGTGGCGAATTCGTATTCGGGGAAAGTTGTTGGAGCTTCCAATAACTTGATGACATAAAACCATTGGCCCTTCAGGCTACTACGCCCTTAACTCATGAGACATAAAGGCAAGCATGAACTTAGCATGCTTCCCTGTTGGGCGCTGTAAACGCTTCTGCACTTCACCAATTCAATTTTCAATTTCAATTGTTTATCTCTTGATAGAGGAAGCGGGCTCCTAGTGCTGTCACTAGGTACCCTGTACAATAACACCAGAAGCATCTGGCAAGTGTCACAAGTATATACAGTATAAATATTATAAGGGGGCTACTAAAGCCTAGGAAGGAAGGATATTCTTTAACACATAATCAATGTTGTTTACATAATATCTGGCCAGTATGGGGAGGATCATCGTGGTTCCGTCAGGGGTCGGAGTGGTGGTCCAGCAGGCGTCACGGAAGGTTGTGTGTGGGGACATCTAGGAGGTAGTGGATAAGGGTGCTGCTGTCGGGTCTTCTGCATTGCGCTTCACTTACACAGATGTAGGGGAGGTGCCCAATAAAAGAAAATAATAATAAAATAAATATGTCCTAATGTGTCCATCCTAATGCAGAAGGCTAGTGTCCCATATACCCTATTTGGCATCCCCCTCTCTATATTCCCTCATTTCTCCTTCCCTTTTTTTACCCTTCACATCGGATTTTCCTCCTCCTCCCTTGCCCCTCATTTATTCATTCTTTTCACTCCTTCTCATTCTCCCACTTCATCTTCTGTTCCTTCCTCCATCCCTCTCTCCTCGCCCCCTTCCTCCTTCTCCCTCCTCTCTCTCCCTATCCTTCCTCCTCCCTCCCCCACCATCCTCTCCCTTCCCTTCCTCCTCTTCACCTCTCCCCACACACAGTGTTCAGACACACTTTAATTAAACTCATAAAGCAGGTGGCTGCCGTTCCCACTCTACAGTATGTGCTGTAGCCCGCCCAGTACTGCACCCACTGTCTGTATGGCTACACTGCATGTCTGTGTCTGTCTTTATGGCTATATTATGTCTAATGTCTATGTCTTTATAGTAACACTGTGTCTAATGTCTGTCTTTATGGCTACACTGCACCATGTCTAATGTCTGTCTTTATGGCTACACTGCACCATGTCTAATGTCTGTCTTTATGGCTACACTGCACCATGTCTAATGTTTATGTCTATATGGCTACACTTTGTTTAATGTCAATACAGTATTTTGCATTTAATGTGTATACTGTGTTTCAATCTCTTTATACCAATAGCTATGACACCAGACTACAGCTATGGCCACCAAACTGCAGCGATCACACCAGACTACAGCTATCACACCAGCCTACAGCTATCAACCAGCCTACAGCCATCACACCAGATTACAGCTATCACACCAGCCCAGCCATCACACCAGACCACAGCCATCACACCAGCCTACAGCTATCACACCAGCCTACAGCCATCACACCAGACTGGCTATCACACCAGCCTACGCTATCACACCAGACTACAGCCATCACACCAGCTGGCCATCACACCAGACTACAGCTATCACACCAGCCTACAGCTATCACACCAGCCTACAGCTATCACCCCAGACTACAGCTGCGACACCAGACTACAGCCATCACACCAGCCTACAAGCCATCACACCAGCCTATAGCAACACACCTACAGCCATCACACCAGCCTACAGCTATCACACCAGCCCACAGCCATCACACCAGACAGCTATCACACCAGCCTACAGCCATCACACCAGCTTCACAGCTATCACACCAGCCTACAGCTATCGCACCAGACTACAGCTATCGCACCAGCCACAGCTATCGCACCAGCCTACAGCCATCACAAGGCTACAGCCATCACACCAGGCTACAGCTATCACACCAGCCTACAGCCATCACACCAGATTACAGCCATCACACCAGCCTACAGCTATCACACCAGATTACAGCTATCACACCAGACCACAGCCATCACACCAGACTACAGCCATCACACCAGACTACAGCTATCACACCAGACTACAGCTATCACACCAGCCTACAGCTATCACACCAGCCTACAGCTATCACACCAGCCTACAGCTATCACACCAGCCTACAGCTATCACACCAGCCAGCCATCACACCAGCCCACAGCCATCACACCAGCCTACAGCTATCACACCAGACTACAGCTATCACACCAGCCTACAGCTATCACACCAGCCCACAGCCATCACACCAGCCTACAGCTATCACACCAGCCTACAGCCATCACACCAGACTACAGCTATCACACCAGACTACAGCTATCACACCAGACTACAGCTATCACACCAGACTACAGCTATCACACCAGACTACAGCTATCACACCAGACTACAGCTATCACACCAGACTACAGCATCACACCAGACACAGCCATCACAACCTCCAGCCATCACCAGACTACAGCTATCACACCAGACTACAGCTATCACACCAGCCTACAGCTATCACACCAGCCTACATTTATCACACCAGCCTACAGCTATCACACCAGCCTACAGCTATCACACCAGCCTACAGCTATCACACCAGCCTACAGCTATCACACCAGCCTACAGCTATCACACCCGCCAGCCATCACACCAGCCTACAGCCATCACACCGGCCTACAGCTATCACACCGGCCCACAGCTATCACACCAGCCTACAGCTATCACCACCAGCCTCACAGCTATCACCAACGCTACAGCTATCACACCAGCCTACAGCTATCACACCAGCCTACAGCTATCACACCAGCCTACAGCCATCCACAGCCATACACCGTTACAGCTATCACACCAGCCTACAGCTATCACACCAGCCTACAGCTATCACACCAGGAAACCGGATGTGGAGAGACAAGTACCTATTTGTTGCTTGAATCTGTTGTACAGCTTAGTCATCTGTAATATATCTTGTGACCATATTGATAAACTGTAAACCTCTAAACATATATACTTGTATTCACTGAATTACTGTAATATCTTGGGGAAAGAGAATGATGATCATTATAATCATTAACAATTTATTATTATTTTCTTTAACTATTTTATTTAATTATTTAATCTTCCAGTAAAAAGCTGTCTATATGCCTATGATTACTTAACTGCTTTCACAATGATACTGGCAGCAAAGTCATAAGAGTATAAATAATAATAAAGAGAGGAAGAGGATTATTAATAATTCTAATAAATTTAATAATAAAATAGGAATATCATAAAAATAATGACTGCAGGAGAAGTCAGTGGCTAACAGAGAGACAGTGCGCTAGGGGATGAGAAAATGAGGGTCTATGGCAAGAATATCTCCTAATACAGTGGGATGGTCACACTCGGGATGATATATGAGTCCTCCCTTACTACCGTTTTCTTTCATACAGCCAATGACGTCACATAATAAGCCCTGCGCGTGGGTTGACTTGTTATAATTAGACTTTGATAATGCCTCGGTAAGCAGATGAAACAACGGAGTCATCTTTATTAAATCTTGTTGTGTCTGAAGTGAGTTGGCGAGAGGGGATTCTCACGTCATCAGTTGGGAGAGAAAATTCAATGAACGAACTTTTTGACAATTTCAACCCTAGTTAATAAACGTTTGGTAACTCCGCTGACACACACACAGGAGAAGCTTCTGCACCATCCTCCACACCGGCTCCTACTACCACCTGAGATCCCTCAAATTGCTGTTCGACACCACAACCGCATCCAGCTCATTATGGTCACATACTGAACCCAACCATTATTATCAACAACTCGTAGTCAACCAGCGTGTTCACTAGCAGCCAATCTTACTTTTGCTCTGTTACTATGCTGAAATTCTTGTTGAAAAGGGGGAGGAGTGAGTGAATATTGGGGAAGATGGAGGAGGAGGAAGAGGGGACGAATGGGAAAGAGGGAGGAGGAGAAGAGAGTGAATAATGGAAAGGGGGGATGGGGAGGTTAAGTTATTAAGGGAGAGAGAAGGAGGAAGAGGAAGAGAGAGGGAGGAAGAGGAAGAGAGAGGAAGATGTCCCAGAGGAGGAGGAAGCTTTGTTTCTTTCACTTGGCAGACCACCAAGAGAACTGGTTTTAGGTTTTTCTGTCTGTCTCTTTATACACACACACACACACACACACACACACACACACACACACACACACACACACACACACACACACACACACACACACACACACACACACACACACACACACGAGGCCCCGCTCTATGCTTACATAGTTACATAATATATCAAATCAATCTGACCACAGAAGATTCCCTTTAAGGCGACCAGTTAGAGGTGACTTCTCTGAGCCAGTTAAGGGAGACAGTTAAAGGACGACCCACTGAGAATCTATCCTGTTCTGATAACATAAATGAACCAGTTAAGAGAGTGAAGAACCAGTTAAGAGAGTGAAGAACCAGTTAAGGAGTAAATAACCAGTTAAGGAGGTAAAGAAAGAGTTAATGGGGTAAAGAACCAGTTAAGGGAGTAAAGAACCAGTTAAGGGAGTAAAGAACCACTTAAGGGTATAAAGAACCAGTTAAGGGAGTAAAGAACCAGTTATGTATAAAGAACCAGTTAAGGAAGTAAAGAACCAGTTAAGGAAGTAAAGAACCAGTTAAGGGTATAAAGAACCAGTTAAGGGAGTAAAGAACCAGTTAAGGGAGTAAAGAACCAGTTAAGGGAGTAAAGAACCAGTTGAGGGAGGAAAAACAGGAACTCAAAACAAACTGACATAATCTACCTTAAGGAACCAGTTCACACACACACACACACACACACAACACACAACACACACACACACACACACACACACACACACATTACATAAGAGAGAAAAAAAACACCTTTGAACTACGAACTCATGAACATCAATTTAAACTACGCAGCTAAAAGTAGGTCAACTAGACACGCCCCTTTAATTCCAGTTACGTGTGAAAACAAAAAAGATCGTAGGGCAGTCTAAGAATCCCAGTGTTGAAGGTTCCATCTGTTGGAGTATGCATGTCAGGTAGGGGAGGAAAGGTGTGGGAAGTAACGGGGAATATTGTGTTAAGGCCTGAGTGTTCTGGTGGTGGCGGTGTAGGGGTTGGGGTGGGGTATGGGAAGGTGGGGTATAGGGGTGGGGGAGGTGAGGAGGACGAAATTGAATTCATTTTTTATTGTGGTAAATGTTGAGTGCGTGGCAGTCTCCTTACTTCCTTGTGTGGTGGTGTAGGGAAGGTGTGGTGGGTAGGGAAGGTGGTGGTGTAGGGAAGGTGTGTGGTGGGTGTGGTAGTGAGTGGGGGTGGTGGTGTGGGGAAGGTGGTTGTGTGGTGTGTAGGGGTGTGGTGGTGTGGGAAGGTGTGGTGGTGTGGGGAGGTGTGGTGGTGTAGGGAAGGTGTGGTTGTGTGTGGTGGGAGTGTGGTGGTGTGGGGAAGGTGTGGTGGTGGGGGGAAGGTGTGGTGGTGTGGGGAGGGTGTGGTGGTGTGAGTGAGGGTGTGGTGGTGTGGGTGGGGTGTGGTGGTGTGGTGAGGGTGTGGTGGTGTGGTGGGGTGTGGTGGTGTGGTGGGGTGTGGTGGTGTGGTGGGTGTGGTGTGGTGAGGGGTTGTGGTGGTGTGGGGGTGTGGGTGGGTGTGGGGGAGGGTGTGGTGGTGTAGTGAGGGTGTGGTGGTGTGGTGGGGTGTGGTGTGGTGTGGTGGGGTGTGGTTGTGGTGGTGTGGTGGTGTGGTGGGGTGTGGTGGTGGGGGTGGTGGTGTGGTGGGGGTGTGGTGGTGTGGTGGGGTGTGGTGGTGTGGTGGGGTGTGGTGGTGTGGGGTGTGGTGGTGTGGTGAGGTGTGGTGGTGGGGTGTGGTGGTGTGGTGGGGGTGTGGTGGTGTGGTGGGGTGTGGTGGTGTGGTGGGGTGTGGTGGTGTGTGGGGGTGTGTGGTGGTGTGGTGGGGGTGGTGGTGGTGGGGGTGTGGTGGTGTGGTGGGGTGTGGTGGTGTGGTGGGGTGTGGTGGTTGTGGTGGGGTGTGGTGGTGTAGTGGGGGTGTGGTGGTGTAGTGGGGTGTGGTGGTGTGGGGAGGTGGTGGTGTGGTGAGGGGTGGGTGGTGGGGTGTGGTGGTGGGGGGTGTGGTGGTGTGGTGGGGTGTGGTGGTGTGGTGGGGTGTGGTGGTGTGGTGGTTGTGGTGGTGTGGTGGGGTGTGGTGGTGTGGGGAGGGTGTGGTGGTGTGGGGAGGGTGTGGTGGTGTGGTGGGGTGTGGTGGTGTGGTGGGGGGTGTGGTGGTGTGGTGGGGTGTGGTGGTGTGGTGGGGTGTGGTGGTGTGGTGGGGTGTGGTGTGGGGAAGGGTGTGGTGGTGTGGTGGGGTGTGGTGGTGTGGTGGGGTGTGGTGGTGTGGTGAGGGTGGTGGTGTGGTGGGGGTGTGGTGGTGTGGTGAGGGTGTGGTGGTGTGGTGAGGGTGTGGTGGTGTAGTGGGGGGTGTGGTGGTGTAGTGGTGTGGTGGTGTAGTGGGGGTGTGGTGGTGTAGTGGGGTGTGGGTGGTGTAGTGGGGGGTGTGGTGGTGTGGTGAGGGTGTGGTGGTGTGGTGAGGGTGTGGTGGTGTGGTGGGGTGTGTGGTGGTGTGGGGAGGTGTGGTGGTGTGGGGAAGGGTGTGGTGGTGTGGTGGGGTGTGGTGGTGTGGTGGGGTGTGGTGGTGTGGTGGGGGTGTGGGGGTGGTGTGGGTGAGGGGTGTGGTGGTGTGGTGAGGGGTGTGGTGGTATGGTGGGGTGTGGTGGTGTGGGGATGTGGGTGGTGTGGTGGGGGTGTGGTGGTGTGGTGGGGTGTGGTGTAATGGGGTGTGGTGGTGTGGGGAAGGTGTGGTGGTGTAGGAGGTGTGGTGGTGTAGTGGGGTGTGGTGGTGTGGGGAAGGTGTGGTGGTGTGGGGAAGGTGTGGTGGTGTGGGGTGTGGTGGTGTGGTGGGTGTGGTGGTGTGGTGGGGGTGTGGTGTGTGGGGTGTGGTGGTGTGGGGAGGGTGTGGTGGTGTGGTGGGGTGTGGTGGTGTGGGGAGAGGTGGTGGTGTGGTGGGGTGTGGTGGTGTGGTGAGGGTGTGGTGGTGTGGTGGGTGTGGTGGTGTAGGGGAAGGTGTGTGGTTGTGGTGGGGTTGTGGTGTTGGTGTATGGGGGTGTGGTGGTGTGGGAAGGGTGTGATGGTGTGTGGGGAAGGTGTGGTGGTGTGGTGGGGTGTGGTGGTGTAAGAGTGTGGTGGTGTGGGGGAGGTGTGGTGGTGTGGTGAGGGTGTGGTGGTGTAGTGAGGGTGTGGTGGTGTGGTGAGGTGTGGTGGTGTGGTGAGGGTGTGGTGGTGTGGTGGGGTGTGGTGGTGTGGTGGGGTGTGGTGGTGTGGTGGTGTGGTGTGGTGTGGGGTGGGGTGTGGTGGTGTGGGGGATGTGGTGGTGTGGTGAGGGTGTGGTTGTGTGGTGGGGTGTGGTGGTGTGGGGGAGGATGTGGTGGTGTAGGGAGGTGTGGTGGTGTGGTGGGGGTGTGGTGGTGGTGGGGTTGGTGGTGTGGGGGGTGTGGTGGTGTAGGGGTGTGGTGGTGTGGTGGGGTGTGGTGGTGTGGGGAAGGTGTGGTGAAGTGGTGGGGGCGTGGTGGTGGTGTAGTGAGGGCGTGGTGGTGTGGTGAGGGTGTGGTGGGTGTAGTGAGGGTGTGGTGGTCCTTGAAGTATAAGGCCACAGACTACAAACCGAGTTTGTTACATGAATATATTCGGTAATCGTCTTATCAAGAATCTAACGCAACATATATAGCCGTGACCTCCAAGCAATACTTATGTTATATAATTTGAAGGAAACTATTATTATTATCATTAGTTGGTAGCAATAGTAGGGGCTTATATGCATGAGGCATGATGATGTAAGGGCCTCACAGCAAATATGTTGAAGGAAATTCGTGATGTCGGGGAAGAACCGACCTCTTCCATTGGACGGTGAGATTTCAACATAGACTTCAAACATCCAACGGC